AATCCACTTTATTTATATAGCACAATTCCAATAAACACAAGGTTTCCAAAGTGCTGCTCAAAAAGATAAAATAACTAAAATAAATAAAACTAAATAAAATAAAATAAAAGCACTGCCTGCACAGTATAAACATATGCATGTGAATACATAAAATCAGCCCCTGATTTTACATGAGGGCACAGAGTGACGGCATTTACTTGGTTTGGAGAAACCCTTCAGGCTCATCATCTGTCAGAGAGAACCATCCTCACCCAGGCTGCCTGTGGCATCCCTCAGACCGAGCTTTAATGCCACAAAAGAAAACAACCAGCTAACCTTTACAGTCAGGGATTCTGGGACGTTTGTTTCTGGTTCTGATGAAAAATTTCTGATATTCTGCAGAAGTTTAGACATGATCAGATAAACAACTTTACCATGGATGGATGGATGGATGGATGGATGGATGGAAAGTTTGTGTTGGGAGCTGGAGAAGTACCACCTTCCTCCAGCAGAGTCCGCCGTGGATCCTCCTGAGCCGAGCCTTCGACGCACCTGTGGCTCGTTTCATCATCAGAGGATCCACAGTATAAAAGCTGTCTTCAGACCTTGCCTCAACGCCGCAGTGTTGAATCTAGTTGGTTAGCACCTGAGCCAAAGAACCTTCTGAGAATCTTTTATTGCCCTCTGAGTCCTGCTAGGACTCTAATCCTTTTGTGTCTCTGTTTCCAGGAAACCAGTTTTTCTCTGTGAGCTCTGGATGAGCTTAGACTGCCGAGCCTGCCCTCTGAGCCAAACCCTCTTCACTGGATTTCCCATGCAGCTCTGGATTAAGAGCTGGAAAACTAAAACCAAGGTCTGCACCCTCTTTAGAAGTAAGACGCTGATGCAGTTATCGGACTCAGCTGAAACAAACCTTCTCTGGACCCAACAACTCCTCTCTCTGAGTTCAAACCGGAACCCTCAAGGTATTAACCTGAACATCACAAACCCACACCCAATTGCTCTCAAGGCTAACTGCTCTGTTATCTACACAGACTCCAGTGAACCAGTCCCCAGGCCTGAACCAGTTCCTGACATAATTCCATGTGCTTGTGAACAATAAACTTTGTTAAACTTTTACTATTATCTCATCAGTGAACCCATCATGACAGTTTGCTCTCTATCTCAGAAGCTAAAAGCAGAAACGTTGTGTAAATTCAAATATCTTTAATCTCATAATCGGAGACAGAAATCAGAAACATCTCGTCAGTTTTTGGGGCATCTTGAAAAATCCTTCAGGAGTGAATTTCTTTCATCTTCATCAGTTGGAGGAGAAGGTTTAAAGAGAGAGAGATGAAACGTCTCTAACATCTGAGATCCCAGGTTTTCTCTGCCAGGCTGCAGTCATTCATTCACCACAGGACAGAAACCGCTCCTGTGCAGAACTTTGATAACCTGCTCCTCCTCATCCTCACCTTCAATCATCACATGAAATCTCTGTGGAACAATTCATCACAGAAGGCCTCGAACGGTGGAAAACTCTTTAGACTCCATGAATTAGCCCACTTGTTAAGAACTCCAGGTCCAGTTTATGTCCTAGACTCCATCTCAGCCTCTGCTGCCTTAAGCTGAAAGGTTAATCCAGATTCTGAAAGTGACTCAGTTCCTCTGCTGTTGGTCTGAGCATCAGCTGAACCACCGAAGCAGTGGAGATAAAAAAAACATCAAATATTTGCTTCAGACCTGATAATATTTACCGTTTGATCCTCACTAAACTCAAATTAAAGGCACTTTTTTTTTAAGAAGTCTGCTCTCGCTACGAAGATGTTACCTCGATCTAGTTGCACTCAGGATCTGTTTCATTACTGCAGCGTTTTCTGATAAATGTATTTTTACTCCTTCTGAACTGTTATTGTTTTTAGTTTGATTATTTTAGGCTTGTGTTTACCTGTTTGCTTCCATGTGTCTGTTACCTTTTCACTGAGACCCACTATGGGAGAAAAACAGGCATTTCTACTAGATTCTCTATGAGCACCAGGGGCAGATTTAGGAAATGTGGGGCCCTAGGCAAAGACGGGCAGGGGGCCCTCTGAACCCATTCTCCAGATAGAGAAATGTTAATAGAATAGACATCCATTATCTGTTCTAGGTTGTGTCCCTCTCTTCTTGTCCCTTTTCTTCTTGTTTTCCTCTCTATGTTTTGTACTCAGCTGACTTTTCATGCTGTCTCTAAAGGAATGAAAGATTTTTTCCAAGCACTAAGCTCACTTAGCTGATTGCTCCTTCCTGTGTTTCCAAAAAGGCCAAAGTAAATAACCCAGTCCTTCTTTTCACTGTAGACAAGCCATGATCTGCTTATCTGTTCTCCATTTTTCATTTGGATGAAATAATAGCTGCATGAATCATGACAGCAGACAAGATAGAGGAGAGCAGGAGGCGGGGTTACCAATCTACTCGCTCTGGAGAGCAGAGTTCGCTGCTTTTAGATGTTGTCTCCAAAGTTTCCAGTAGCAGAAAAAAGTCTCTAGATTTGGCGCTAGGAGCTTTTTAGAAATCAAAGTGCTAGAGGGGTCTGAAAAGTGGCTAAATATAGCGACTAAAGCGCTAAGTTGGCAACACTGCTCTTTGCATCGTTTGTTTTCAAATGGTTTGCTGCTGTCTGTTTGGACCTTTCTGAACATGTGCAGCAAATGGACTGATCCAATATGGTGGACACTGAAGGGGGGGGGGGGGCTGAGACACACTTAATATTATCAGCGTTCTGATGGCATTTTAGCCAAAGGATTTTTATCAAAAACATAATTAATGTGCAGAAATAAGGAATAGTTGTATTAACCATACATGGAAACAGAGTTTTATGGGCCCAGCTCAGCTCCTTCTTCTCCTCTGTCTAGTTTTTATGTATTTTGATCAAACAGACAAAAATAGTAAAAGAAAGATGAGAAAATGAGTTATGATATAAAGCAGATGATGCAGGATTAAAGTCTGCATTGAATTTGGATTCAGTCAGTTATCTCTTTAACTGCCCTCGGGGATCGTGTATGGCTGCATGTCTCTGTGTTTCCCTGCAGCGTCCAGCCAGTATCCACCATATAACCGCTGAAAATAGGAACCAGACATCAGCCTTTCCTCCAGGGTTTAGCTGCCTGTCCCTTCATTTGATCTACTCACATCTTCCAAGACCAGAAAACAGCTCAGACAGAACAGGAAAACTGTGAGGTTAGTTTTTATTTTGTGAATTTAGTGAAATATAGCTAACAAAATTAGATAATTAATCAAATATTTTGTCCCAGATGTTTCAGCACTAGAAGCACCAAAGAAAAGATGTTTAATATGCAGTGAAAAAGGGATATCTAATCTGCTGTCACAGAGAATATTAAAGTAATTCCATCCATTTTCTGTCACGTTTATCCCTGCTGGGTTGGTGAGGGGTGCTCTCCCTATTCTCCCTGTACATATGTGGGTTCTCTCCAGGTACTCCGGCTTCCTCCCACAGTCCAAAAACATGACTGTTAGGTTAATTGACTGTTAGGTGTGTGTGTGAATGGTTGTTTGTCTCCGTTTCCCTGCGATGGACTGGAGACCTTCCAGGATGGACCCCACCTCTCACCCGTAGACAGCTGGAGATAGACCCTTCCTGCTATTATCGTAACCCCCACCTCCATACAGGCAAACAATTCCCTCTAACAACCCCCTTTCAGAGACATAGACAGGTATGGGGCATTGCAGGCTAACAAAGAAGCCAAACGACCCCCATTCCAAAGGGGGGGCCCCGTTCATCCGTTTCTATTTGCATGTTTTCTAAACCAAAACCAGGCTTTGTTGGGCTGCTGGATAAAACCTGGAACTAAACGCTATTTCTGACATTTTGGATTGAAAAATCTTCCTGGATGGAAGAGAAAGCCAAACAGAAACAGACCAGATGAAGCTACTATGAGAAAAAGCAGAGAGAGCAGAACGTTAGAGATTGAACTAACAGATTCTGCAGAGTGGGAGAATAGAGATAGAATGAAGCAGAATGATGAAAAAGGGGTCCCTATGTCCTCCAGCAGTCTAAGCCTATAGCAGCAGAACTATAGAGATAGCTCAGGATAACCTGAGCCACTCTAACTAGAAGCTTTATCAAAAAAGTGGTGAGGTAAGCCTAGCGCCATTTTCCCCGCTTTCCAAGCTAAATCAATGGGAACTACTAGACACATCTGCAATCAACAACAATTATTGAAGATTTTCAGAGGACTTCACCATTGAAATTCACCAGAGCTATAGTGAAACTGACAATGCCCACGTGCATGGCAGCTGGATGCTGGAATACATCGGGTAAAAGTGAAAAAAAGAGTTATTCCACCTTTCTGATTCCTGATCCTCCACGGACGGGTTGGTCGTTGGATCGCCAACTTGAAGAGGGAGGATTTGCCATCGAACTTCTGGCCAGAGAAAAAACCCGTAATATGTAGCCAACATTTGGAAGAAGAATGTTTTCAAGATGACTTGGATAATAGCGCGTTGTGACAAACACCAGATACAGCACTGGGACTCGATCAACAGCCGATACCGCACCGTGACAATGTCACTAACCAGTAGGTGGCAGTAGTGTTCTTTGACAAACATGGATGCCTCCAGTAAAGCACATTCACATGAAAATTACTCTGAATTAAAAACACTGATCATTTATTGAACAGGATGGAATCATTTCAGATTTAAAGAACTTTCAGAAGTTTGAATTCTGAATATGAGCGACTTTTCCTTTAAAACTCCTGGGATGGCATAAAAAATAGCAAATTCTGGGATGTTTGTTATATTAATTAGAAAAATCCTATTTTTTAATATTTGTTACTATTTTTTACAAATAAAATACAATTATCCACCCAGTTCTATATCTCCTTTGCTTTTTAGTGAGAGACAAGCTAAGAAAACTTTTAAAATAAAATATAAATAGATGAAAAGAAAAAAATATGTTAATAAAAAAATGAAAGAACATAATTATCAAGGTCTTGTCAGGTTATTGTCAGCTGCTCCATTTGTCAATAAAGTTTTTTTTTTTTTTTTAAACCGGTAAAAATGGCGGAGTACGACCTAACAACCAGAATAGCCAATTTTCTGGACCGACACCTGGTTTTCCCGCTGCTGGAGTTCCTGTCCGTGAAAGAGGTCAGAGTTTATCCTCTGAGTGAAGCTAACAACATTAATAGCAGGGCTAGCAGCCATGCTAGGCAGGCTAACGCCAACAGCTAGCCGCTAACATTAGCCACAGAGCTAGCTGATTATCCTGGTTTACCATCTCTGCTTTACTTTAACCTGAAATTGAAGAGGAAACTATTTAAAATACTTCAACTAAAGCTAATTATAGCTATTAGCTTTTATCTGCCGATGGTTCAAACACGAATGACACCAAAAATTGGTTTAAATTAAACCTGATCTCTGAACCATAGTGATTAAAGCATCTGGTTATCCTGTATTTATTAAATATACCTTTTATTTCTCACTTTTGTATTTCGTGTTTTTCATCAGACTTTGGGTAATTTCTACTCCGCTTTAATTCCTGGATTTGGGGCGATTTGAATAGAAAAAAGTTGGAAAATTCAGGTATATTTGGAGCAAATTGACTTTTCAATAAAAGGAAAAAATGAAAATCTCCCCAAAAATTACAACAACAAAAAATCAGACTATCTTTAGTGAGGGCAAATTTGCAGCATCAAAATCAGCAGGAATGTAAGAAATTATTCCCATAAACCTCAATAAATTGTTAAATTCATTTTTATTTTGCAGTTTCTACCTTAGTCAGTTTAATAACCTGCTGCTGTCATTTAAACATCTCTGACGTTTCTGCTATTTTCAAATTACTGTAAAAATGTGCATAGCTGTTTATTAGTTATTTATTCTCCAGGTGCACAGTTTATATTGTTAAAACACTTTACAGTATTTCATTGTTTATCTTTTAACTCCTCACTATTATCTATTTTTTATACATTTTCTAAGGTTACACCGGAATGCCCCATTGTGGGACAATAAAGAGATTTTCTATTCTATTTTACTCTAACAAACTCTGCAGATATTGAAAGTAAAAACATTTAAAAATGATTAACATGTGTTGCCGTGTTTGATTGGCAGGAGTTAAAAAAAAAATATAGTTTTCTTTATTAAATAATTAAAGACCCTTTAATTAGCGGTTTAATTCTGAACCATTCCGGTCATAATTTACCTTATGGTGAAAAAATATCTGATTTTTTTCTGACTGTAAATGTTTCTCTGAAAGTTTAAAACAACACATGGGTTCTTTAGTTTGAATGGATTTCCTGTGTTTTATATCCTGCTGATGTTTCAGCTGTTTCCAGTTGTGCTTTGAGCTTCTTGGTTCCTGAAAGTTTAGCTTAAATCCTGTAATCTAAAAATCACAGAAAACGGAATAATATTCAGGCTTGATTTAAAATTCAGGTAAACTTCATAGCGGTTAGAGGTGGGCAGATCCATCCAAGGATCGATGCTATCGATACCAACGCTGGTACTGATATTCGCTCGGACGCTCTAACCGCAGCAGATTGATCAGTCTCCCCGTCTGTGTCACAGCACTTTGCTGCTCCCCCCTCCCCTCTCTTCACCTGCTCAGCAGGCTCAGCCTGGCCCCGCCCACTCAGGTCCTTCCCCACTCCATAGACAAACAACCGCTCTGCTGCTCCTCAGACACCGGAGCAGAAAAAGATGAAGAAGAAGAAACAAAGTGCCGTTTCGCTATATTTTAATACCATAAAAGAAACACCACTTAAATGCAGTGCAAACACAACAAGTTTATATAAACACATGAAAAACCATGAGCAAGAAAATGTCGAGCTACAGAAACGGAGAGAGGAGATGAAACTTTGCTTATTGCTCCGACAGACCCTCGACCCTCAGACAGACATCAGTGACAGAGGCGGTTCAGACCTCCAGAGAATATCCAGGTAGATGAGACTGATCACCATCATATGAACTTTAAAGTAGATATTATATGTCATAAGTTACTGGAGCCCACTCAGAAAGTGTTATTAGGACACTGAAAGAACCCAAAACATTTATACCATTTAAACATGTTATCTATGTGGGCTAACATTGGCTAATCTTTATTCATCCCACAATGTGGAAATTTATACAATTAAAACTACAAGCAAATGCAAAGATATAAGTAGTGGATTAGGAAAAAAACACTGAAAATAATATTATTTATTATTATTTTTCAATTGTAAGGCAAGGCAAATTTATTTGTATAGCACAATTCAGTACAAAGACAATGCAAAGTGCTTTACATGATTAAAATACAGGAAGATAAAACAGAATCAAAGCAAGTAGGAAAAAATAAAAAACAAATAAAATAAAATAAAAAATGCAGAAACAAAAAAAGAATGTTAAAAACAGTTGGATTAAAGAAAACATGTTTTTGTTGAACTGTTTAACTAGAACAGTCGAATGCAATCCTAAACAAATGTGTTTTTAGTCTTGATTTAATAAAATTGTAACAATAAAACAAAAATCACAAAAATACTGAAAGGTCCACGGTTCCATGTTACATGAAGTTTGAATGTAAAATAGTTTGGTATCGTATCGACACGGGTGATACTGACCCTGTATTTACTTTTATCGTATCGATTAAAAATTCCCGCTATCACCCTCCTCTAATAAAAAGGCCCCAATGGGGCCCGAAGCAAGATTAGATTTTGGGGCCCTGTAGGTCCGCCAATGTAATCATCAGTGCAGTGATCACATCCTTTAAACTACCTGCTTTAAAATCAGTCTTGGTATAATTCCTGCTCTAAGTCCGTCACTCTGTCAGCTAAAAGTATGTTTTACAGTCTCTATACTCCAATTAACAATGAATTTACTAAATTAGTTGACAATTATTTCAATAATTATTTAATCCTGATTAATGCGATAGTTTCAGCCCTACGTCTGACTGAAGCATCTCCTCATTCATCTGCATCATTTACTGAGTTTATCTACAGCAGAGAAGCGGAGGAAATGCTAGAAGCTATCAGACATAGTGGATGTCAGAAGGTATCAGAGTCCCTTCAGATCCACCTTCACCAGTTTTCATCCCTACAATGATCCATAATCAGAAACCAGGTATCGTTATGTTAGCACTAAGGAAATGGATCGGACCGCTTTTTCATGGAACGTCGACTTTAGTGAGTCGATGTGCGATCAGGACAGACGGAGAGAAAAAGGAAGGACTGACCTCCTGAGAACCTCATTAACAAATTAATTATCCTTAAAGAACCTGGAAACATTTGGAGACATTTCACAAGCGGCCAGGAGACGGTTTCCTGTTAGACGCCGTTTAATATTTCCAACTTTCAAGCTCGGTCTGAAGAGACCTTCGCTGTTTAGTTGTTGAAGTTTGATTTGACGATTTTTTGGGGGGGTTTTTTTTTTTTTGTGACAAGGGAAAAAGAAGGAAATCCCCCAGGGGAAACCTTTCCCCCCCCACCAAAAAGGGGGAAAAAAAAAAAAAAAAAAAAAAAAAAAAAAAAAAAAAAAAAAAAAAAAAAAAAAAAAAAAAAAAAAAAAAAAAAAAAAAAAAAAAAAAAAAAAAAAAAAAAAAAAAAAAAAAAAAAAAAATTTCCCATGGGTGACATAATTTGGAATTAAGGAAACTCCCCCGAAGCTATCTCTGGCGACAGTGGGCTTCCCGGTGTCTACAATGATAGGCAAGGCACGTAAACGTGCTCTCACGATCTGATGTGTCACGGTTAGACTGTTCGTTCTTATAGGAGATACTAAATGATCAGTACAGCGACATGCTCTGGTGCTCACAGACATAGAAAAAGATCACTGCCGGCTTGCTGCTGCATCCTCACTTGACTTAAAGTGTCAGACAGCTGACCGACCGCTGCCTGCGTCCCCACTAGAACTATAGAAAGTAGATTAGACAGATCCAGATGCTGTGCTGCCTGCATCCCCACAAACTTAGAAAGTAACAAAGCTGATCAGAGCCTGCCTGCGTCCTCACTAGAACTAGAAAGTAATTTAGACGCGATCAAGAAGAGCTGCCTCGTCCCACTAGACATAGAAAGTAGATCAGACAGCTGATCAGCTGCTGCCCGCGTCCATGCATACTATAGAAGTAGATCAACGCTATCCAGAGTTTCTGCCTGCGTCCTCACTAGACTATAGAAGTAGATCGACGCGACCAGTGCCCGCCCCGCCTCCCAAAAACTATAGTAATAGATTTGGGAAATGATCAGATGCTGCTGCCTGGTACTAGAACTTAAAGGAAGTAATCAGGGCGGATCAAATGCTGCATGCTCCTAGAACTATAGAAAGTAGATTCAGGGAAACTATCAAAATGCTGCTGCCGGTCACAGAACTATATTAAGTATCAGCAGATCCAGACGCTTGCCGCTCTCCCCTAGAACTATAGAAAGTAGATCCCAAAAAGCTAGATAGCGTCGGCCCCCTAGAACATAGAAAGTGATTTAGACGGGCTGATCCCGCTTCTGCCGCCTCCTATTCTATAAGAAAGTATCAGAACCTGATCCAGACGCGCTGCCTGCGTCTCACTAGACTATAAAAGTAGGGTCAGACAGTGATTCAGACGCGCTGCCTGCGTCTCCGGATTATAGAAAGTAAAACAGACAGCTGACAACGCTGGCCGCGTCTCAATAGCATAGAAAGTAGGGTAAGCTGATACAGACGCCGCTGCCTGTCGGGCTACAGAACTAAGAAAGAGATCAGACGTATTTCCCAAACCCGTGCCGCCCTCCTACTGGTATAGAAGTAGTCAGAAGCATTGAGGTGCGGGGTTCAGAATTAGGGTAAGTGTCAAAGTGTAGAGTGATGGTACTGACTAAAGTAGATCAGACAGCTGATCCAGCGCTGCTGCTGGTCCTCACTAGAACTATAGAAAGTAGATCAGACCTGATCCGACCCTTTAGCCCGCCCCGCCTGCGTCCTCACTAGAACTATAGAAAGTAGATCGACAGCTATCCAGACGCTGCTTTCCTGCGTCCTCACTAAACTATAGAATAGTCAGACGCCCGATTTCCCGGCCCGCTGCCTGGTCCTCACTAGAACTATAAAAGTAGATCGCAGCTGATTTCCAGATCGCTGCTGCCTGCGTCCTCACTAGAACTATAGAAAAATAGATCCCGCTGATCCAGAGCGCTGTGCCTGCGTCCTCACTAGAACATAGAAAGTAGTCACAGCTGATCCCGACTGCTGCTGCCTGCGTCCTCACTAGAACTATAGAAAGTAGATCAAGCTTTATCCCGACCCGCTGCCTGCGTCCTCCTAACTATAGAAAAGTAAGATCAGACAGCTGATCCAGAACGCCGCTGCCTGCTTTCCTCACTAGAACTATAGAAAGTAGATCAGCTGATCCAGACGCGCTGCCTGCGTCCTCACTAGAACTATAGAAAGTAGATCAGCTGATCCAGACGCTGCTGCCTGCGTCCTCACTAGAACTATAGAAAGTAGATCAGCTGATCCAGACGCCGCTGCCTGCGTCCTCACTAGAACTATAGAAAGTAGATCAGACAGCTGATCCAGACGCCGCTGCCTGCGTCCTCACTAGAACTATAGAAAGTAGATCAGCTGATCCAGACGCCGCTGCCTGCGTCCTCACTAGAACTATAGAAAGTAGATCAGACAGCTGATCCAGACGCCGCTGCCTGCGTCCTCACTAGAACTATAGAAAGTAGATCAGACAGCTGATCAGACGCCGCTGCCTGCGTCCTCACTAGAACTATAGAAAGTAGATCAGACAGCTGATCCAGACGCCGCTGCCTGCGTCCTCACTAGAACTATAGAAAGTAGATCAGACAGCTGATTCAGACGCCGCTGCCTGCGTCCTCACTAGAACTATAGAAAGTAGATCAGACAGCTGATTCAGACGCCGCTGCCTGTGTCCTCACTAGAACTATAGAAAGTAGATCAGACAGCTGATTCAGACGCCGCTGCCTGCGTCCTCACTAGAACTATAGAAAGTAGATCAGACAGCTGATCCAGACGCTGCTGCCTGCGTCCTCACTAGAACTATAGAAAGTAGATCAGACAGCTGATCAGACGCTGCTGCCTGCGTCCTCACTAGAACTATAGAAAGTAGATCAGACAGCTGATCCAGCTGCTGCTGCCTGCGTCCTCACTAGAACTATAGAAAGTAGATCAGACAGCTGATCCAGATGCTGCTGCCTGCGTCCTCACTAGAACTATAGAAAGTAGATCAGACAGCTGATCCAGATGCTGCTGCCTGCGTCCTCACTAGAACTATAGAAAGTAGATCAGACAGCTGATCCAGATGCTGCTGCCTGCGTCCTCACTAGAACTATAGAAAGTAGATCAGACAGCTGATCCAGACGCTGCTGCCTGCGTCCTCACTAGAACTATAGAAAGTAGATCAGACAGCTGATCCAGACGCTGCTGCCTGCGTCCTCACTAGAACTATAGAAAGTAGATCAGACAGCTGATCCAGACGCTGCTGCCTGCGTCCTCACTAGAACTATAGAAAGTAGATCAGACAGCTGATCCAGACGCTGCTGCCTGCGTCCTCACTAGAACTATAGAAAGTAGATCAGACAGCTGATCCAGACGCTGCTGCCTGCGTCCTCACTAGAACTATAGAAAGTAGATCAGACAGCTGATCCAGACGCTGCTGCCTGCGTCCTCACTAGAACTATAGAAAGTAGATCAGACAGGCTGATCCAGACTGCTGCTGCCTGCGTCCTCACTAGAACTATAGAAAGTAGATCAGACAGCTGATCCAGACGCTGCTGCCTGCGTCCTCACTAGAACTATAGAAAGTAGATCAGACAGCTGATCCAGACGCTGCTGCCTGCGTCCTCACTAGAACTATAGAAAGTAGATCAGACAGCTGATCCAGACGCTGCTGCCTGCGTCCTCACTAGAACTATAGAAAGTAGATCAGACAGCTGATCCAGACGCTGCTGCCTGCGTCCTCACTAGAACTATAGAAAGTAGATCAGACAGCTGATCCAGACGCTGCTGCCTGCGTCCTCACTAGAACTATAGAAAGTAGATCAGACAGCTGATCCAGACGCTGCTGCCTGCGTCCTCACTAGAACTATAGAAAGTAGATCAGACAGCTGATCCAGACGCTGCTGCCTGCGTCCTCACTAGAACTATAGAAAGTAGATCAGACAGCTGATCCAGACGCTGCTGCCTGCGTCCTCACTAGAACTATAGAAAGTAGATCAGACAGCTGATCCAGACGCTGCTGCCTGCGTCCTCACTAGAACTATAGAAAGTAGATCAGACAGCTGATCCAGACGCTGCTGCCTGCGTCCTCACTAGAACTATAGAAAGTAGATTAGACAGCTGATCCAGACGCTGCTGCCTGCGTCCTCACTAGAACTATAGAAAGTAGATCAGACAGCTGATCCAGACGCTGCTGCCTGCGTCCTCACTAGAACTATAGAAAGTAGATCAGACAGCTGATCCAGACGCTGCTGCCTGCGTCCTCACTAGAACTATAGAAAGTAGATCAGACAGCTGATCCAGACGCTGCTGCCTGCGTCCTCACTAGAACTATAGAAAGTAGATCAGACAGCTGATCCAGACGCTGCTGCCTGCGTCCTCACTAGAACTATAGAAAGTAGATCAGACAGCTGATCCAGACGCTGCTGCCTGCGTCCTCACTAGAACTATAGAAAGTAGATCAGCTGATCCAGACGCTGCTGCCTGCGTCCTCACTAGAACTATAGAAAGTAGATCAGACAGCTGATCCAGACGCTGCTGCCTGCGTCCTCACTAGAACTATAGAAAGTAGATCAGACAGCTGATCCAGACGCTGCTGCCTGCGTCCTCACTAGATCTATAGAAAGTGGATCAGGGCTGATCCAGACGCTGCTGCCTGCGTCCTCACTAGAACTATAGAAAGTAGATCAGACAGCTGATCCAGACGCTGCTGCCTGCGTCCTTACTAGAACTATAGAAAGTAGATCAGACAGCTGATCCAGACGCTGCTGCCTGCGTCCTCACTAGAACTATAGAAAGTAGATCAGACAGCTGATCCAGACGCTGCTGCCTGCGTCCTCACTAGAACTATAGAAAGTAGATCAGCTGATCCAGACGCTGCTGCCTGCGTCCTCACTAGAACTATAGAAAGTAGATCAGACCGCTGATCCAGACGCTGCTGCCTGCGTCCTCACTAGAGCTATAGAAAGTAGATCAGACAGCTGATCCAGATGCTGCTGCCTGCGTCCTCACTAGAACTATAGAAAGTAGATCAGCTGATCCAGACGCTGCTGCCTGCGTCCTCACTAGAACTATAGAAAGTAGATCAGACAGCTGATCCAGACGCTGCTGCCTGCGTCCTCACTAGAACTATAGAAAGTAGATCAGCTGATCCAGACGCTGCTGCCTGCGTCCTCACTAGAACTATAGAAAGTAGATCAGCTGATCCAGACGCTGCTGCCTGCGTCCTCACTAGAACTATAGAAAGTAGATCAGACAGCTGATCCAGATGCTGCTGCCTGCGTCCTCACTAGAACTATAGAAAGTAGATCAGACAGCTGATCCAGACACTGCTGCCTGCGTCCTCACTAGAACTATAGAAAGTAGATCAGCTGATCCAGACGCTGCTGCCTGCGTCCTCACTAGAACTATAGAAAGTAGATCAGACAGCTGATCCAGACGCTGCTGCCTGCGTCCTCACTAGAACTATAGAAAGTAGATCAGCTGATCCAGACGCTGCTGCCTGCGTCCTCACTAGAACTATAGAAAGTAGATCAGCTGATCCAGACGCTGCTGCCTGCGTCCTCACTAGAACTATAGAAAGTAGATCAGACAGCTGATCCAGATGCTGCTGCCTGCGTCCTCACTAGAACTATAGAAAGTAGATCAGACAGCTGATCCAGACACTGCTGCCTGCGTCCGCACTAGAACTATAGAAAGTAGATCAGCTGATCCAGACGCTGCTGCCTGCGTCCTCACTAGAACTATAGAAAGTAGATCAGACAGCTGATCCAGACGCTGCTGCCTGCGTCCTCACTAGAGCTATAGAAAGTAGATCAGGTCAGCCCAGTTCTGAAGTCCTTCCTCTGGTTCTCCGTGTCTCAGACTTTAAAAGTCTAGGAATCACTGAATGGCTGAGCTCCAGTCTACAGACTGGTTGGCAGGGGATCGACAGCCAGACCTCTCAGGTCTACTGGATCAGAACCAAACGGCTTTTAGTTCCTCTGCTCCAATAATCTGGAATAAAATCCCAGAAAACTAGAATAGAGTTGAAAGCCTCAGCTGGATTAAATCCAGATTAAAACATGTTTCTTTAGACCTTTGACTGAGAAATCTAAAAAGTTGCAGTTCTAGGTCCAGTTTTCCTTTTTTAACGATTAACATTTAATTATTGTCTGTAAATGAATTATTCTTCAGCAGCAGCCGTTAAATGGCGCCTTTCCATCTTCTCATAATTATAAGAAGATGGACATTTTATTCCTGGTTCTTTGACCCCCTGCGTTGCCGTGCAGAAAGACGTCTCCAGGTTCCCCTGCTGATCTGATCTATATTTTATTGGAGCAGATCTATTCAGACTGCTGCCTCTGTTAAACAGATCTTTGCTGTTTTATCCTCTACGTCTAACTGTTGATAGACGGACCTGCATACCAGCTCCTGACGTAACCTGAAGTTCTGTCTGTTCTCCAGCTCTGAGGGAGAAGAGGAGCAGCGTGGTGGCCCAGCTGAAGCAGCTGCAGTTGGAGACGGAGCCCATCGTCAAGATGTTCGAGGACCCGGAGACCACCCGGCAGATGCAGTCCACCAGGTCCGCTGCCCCAGCAGCCCTGTGCCGCGTTCCAGCTGCACGGAGGGGGGTGCTCAGTCTGACGCTCTTGACTTCTGTGTTCTCCTCAGGGATGGGAGGATGCTGTTCGACTACCTGTCAGAAAAACACAGCGTAAGTTTTTTATACGCCGCCGCCGTTTGTTCCCTCTCCCCGCGGGGGACCGGTTTGCCAGTCAGCTCCACGTGTTGCCGTAGCAACCAGCTGCCTGGGCTACGGTAGCAGCATCCAGCGACGTGCTCCCGCCGGCTCTCCGTCTAATGAGACCTAATTTCCCAGAGAATCAGGTTAATGAGTTTGTCCTGCCTCCTTCCCAGGGGCGGTTCTAGACCAAATGAATCCAGGAGGGGGCCAGCGTGTTTTCATAGGGGAACAGAAAAGCATGAAATAAAAAACAGGGATTCAAATATATTAAGACAGCTGCATGAAGTTAAATTTCTATTCAATTAGGTTTAATTAAAATTCTATGTATTATTACTCACAGATTTCCCATAATCAGGACTAGAGTAGGGTTGGAAATAAGTCAAGCTGCATTCCACCTCAAAAAGCAGGAAATAGAGTTTCAAAGTCTAAAGTTCTACATTTTCCAGGGGAGGATACCCCCGGACCCCCCCCCCCCTACGCTGCACAGAGCCTAAAGATGTGATGCACCAAGGTGACCCCCGATGGATTTATTCCTAGATAAAATCCTGTTGCCGTGTTTTCCAAGCGGGCACTGAATGCAGGATTACTGAATCGAATCGCCATGATGGATGTGATTTAAACCCCTAGTGGTTGCCCAGACAACGATAACAACATCACGCAGCGTCCGTGTGTCGAGTCGGGAGCATCTGTAGTGTTAGCGCGTCTAATGACCAATGAAGTTTTACCCGACTGATAACAAAACTATAAAAATCTGTTTCTGGTGAACAAAGTAACTGTTAGACCGTGATATAAAGGGGGAGAGCTGGGTAGCGCTGTGGCTAGCTGTAGCTAACAGGTTAGCCTCTTTTAGCTCAGTCAGTTAGCCATATTAAGCTACACTACTTTTAAAGTCGGAACATCAACAATCGTTCGTTTTCTACAAGTAAAATAACTTTTTTTTGTCTAAAATCTCTACGAAAGTCATTTTTTAGGATGTTCCATTTGTCCTCCTCTGACCTCAGAATTTAATAAAAAGAATAAAAATAAGCTGAGACTTTTAGTGTTAAATAGCAGAACTCAGTCTGTCTCAGAAGGCAGGACTTTCCTTCCAGACTGACAATGGTTGTTTTCTACTTTCTGCTACTTTAGATTGCCGATAAAATGTAAAATAATGGCAACTATAGGAAATATTATGTTGAGACTCCAGAAGAGATTTGATTCTTAATGAACAGATGCAATACAGTTTGTCCGAGTGGAGTTTCCATATGATGACGTCATAAGAAGGGGCGGGGCCCTGAGCGGATCTGGATCCTACACGGACTGTAAACGAGTAGTTAGCTTTTCTCTGCTGAGCCTGGATTTTCATGGTTGCTGCGCAGGATGCGGAGGAACCGCCAGTCATGATGAATTAGCCATCAAGTTGGTGGAAAACACAAAGGCTTCATTTCAGGACGCGTGGTTCGCAAAGTGTGGCTGGCAAAGGAGCCGAAAAAAATCATCTGTCTTTTTTATTTTTGTTGTCACTTTTTGGAGATGATTTCTAAGCTTTTCTAAAGAGCTTAAAGGCTCCAGTGCAGCCCAATCTGTTTGGAAGAAAAACAGTCTCAAAATTCACCAGAAAAAAATTCAGCCGCAAAAGTGTTGACCTTTTGGTGAACTCAAGCCAAAGCAATCTACACTCGATAGAGTCGAGCAGCTTCTGGTGAGTTTTTACCAGATAAAACTTTGAGTGTAAGGAATTCAATTTCTAAAAAAATTGTGTTTAAAATTCGGTGTTAAAAAAAAGGCAGATTCCAATGAGACAGTTTTTCTTCCATAAATCTGTCCGTCACTAACCGTCCGTATATTGTGGATTTAACGGAATATTATCAATAAGAATGATGGCAACCCGTTGGTCGGCTCTCATCCAGCAACTTTGTTGCCATTTAGGGTTTTATTGAATTTGCATTTCTGCTAAAATAGCCTTTTAGCCATGTCTACACGTATGGAGTGACTTTTGTTCCAATATTGTTTCAAGCTAAGTTTTTGTAAATGAAACTTGGAAAATCTTCTTAATTAAAAAAGGTTTTGAGACTAACTTTCCTTTTTTCTCAGATTTTTTTCTCCATACTCTTTCAAAAATTTTGTCCAGATTTTATATTTTTTCTGATTTTATTTTTTATATATTTCTATAGTTTTTCCAGCTTGTTTTACAAATTGCCTTATTTTTTAAATTGCGTTTCACAGATCCTATTCTCTTTACTTGCAGCCCAGTCCAACGACCAATAAAAATGTCACTAACTAAAGAAAAGCCTATAAAGCTTAAACTTTGAGAATAATTAATGTTACAAAAATATTTTAATTGAAATGTATAAAAAATGTATTTAAAAAAATACAGAAGTAAAACCTGAGAAAAGTTACTTTCAAAACATTTTTATTAAGACGTTTTTCAGTCTGAATTGCTTTTTTTTCCTTCAAAATCTCCATTTACAACGGAAAAAACGTAGATATTTAAATATAGATCAGCATAGTCACATTTATTACTGTAGTTTGATCAGCTATTTAATTTCAGTTGCTTACGTCCAAATAGACGGTTTAATTCTATTGTTTATTGCGTTGTAGTCTAAAGACATTAAAGTCTTTAAAATAGAAATAGTTTTAGCAGGTGTATTGAATAAATTTTAAATTAATTTCCATTCTGAGTCATTTCCAGGTCATCATGGCTGCTATTTTCTCCCGTAGTTCCGTCAGGAGTACTTGGACACGCTCTACAGGTATGCCAAGTTCCAGTATGAGTGCGGTAACTACTCCGGGGCGGCTGAATACCTCTACTTCTTCCGGGTCCTGGTGAGAACATCCGCATACATACATGACCCCCCCCCCCATATCCAGGCCTCTGATGCAGTTTCCTGTTGGTTCTCAGGTTCCGTCCACAGACAGGAACGCTCTGAGTTCTTTGTGGGGGAAACTGGCCTCTGAGATCCTGATGCAGAACTGGGAGGCGTCCATGGAGGATCTGACCCGTCTGAGGGAAACCATCGACAACAACGTAAGAAAAAAAACAACTTTTTAGGTCTGGTGCAGCGCAGGAGGTTCAGAGGGTTTGATCTGGGCTGCTGAGGTCTTTGAGGATTCATTGATGTCTGTTTGCTCCTTAGTTTCAATCAGTCCTCAGCAGGACAGATGGCCAGAGGTGGAGGAAGGACTTATCAGTAGTAATGAGTAAAAATATTGATACTCATAGTCAAATCCTACTCAACCACAAATAAAAGTTACTCATTTAAACATCTTAATTAAAAGTATTGAAGTACTCACTTTTGGAAATACTCAAGTATTCTATTCAGTTTATTTCTATAGCTCCAATTCACATCATGTCATCTCAGGTCACTTTCCAGTTCACCAGATCATCCAGTCAGATTGATTCAAAGTTTTCTATCTAAGGAAAACCAGCTGATTGCATCGACTCTGCCTGGCTGTGTGTTTCCTGGACGGGGCCGCCTGTGGAGCTGGTTGACAGTTGCCTTTTGTATCTATGCTTCTTTTTCTATGTCTGCTTCTGTCTCCTTGAACCCCAGTGGGCCTCAGCAGATGGCCGCTCACACTGAGCCTGGTTCTGCTGGAGGTTTCTTCCTGTTAAAAAGGAGTTTTTCCTCTCCACTGTCGCTACAAGCATGCTTAGTGTGAGGGATTGCTGAAGAGTCAATGAGTCGATGCAATCCGCTGGTTTTCCTTAGATCAGAGCATATAAACGGAGCGTTGTGCGATTCCTGCTAAGGAGGAGGTTCGTTCATTCGCTCCGCGTTCACCTTCATTTTCCTGCCGTTGCGGCAAAATCGCTCCACGCTCGCTCCCATTTTCAGGAAAAGGCATTTCGTGACATTTTTCCTTCCAGTAATGATGCCAGGGCCCTGAGACACGGCGTTTGATTTAATGATGCGACCGTTATTGTCTTATATAACTGGCTGTTAAATTATCACTGTTTCCAGGGTTCCTGCAGGTCCTTAAAAAGTCTTAAAAGGCATTGAATTCTTCAAAATAAAACTAAGGCCTTAATTGGTATTAAAATGTCTTAAATCAGTCTTTTGTAGGTATTATTTTTTAAAACATCATAAATAAGATTATATTTATTATGATTTATTTTTGTAATCTAAATAAAACATTAAAAATTGACAATTTTTATTTTATTTTTAATAAAAAAAAAAAAAAACTTCTTTTATTGGTTCCGCTATCGGGACGGAACCAATAAAAGCGTTGTTGCGGCCGGGACATTTCAATTTCAATTTAGGCATATGCACTGATCGATCGATGGCACTTTTTTTTTATTTCGTTGTTCTTGTGACAATGACAATAAAGATAAATTGAAATTGAATTGAATCAGACATACTTTAATTATCCCAGAGGGAAATTACCCGCCTTTCCTATTTAAATATTCATTTATTTTACTAGACTTAAATAAAATAAATGTTATTTTGCTAATTTTATAATCCAACATTTTTAATGGACGTTGTGAGCGCATCAAAGTGAAATCCTTGCTCTGACCTTTGAACTCTGCTCTCATGCTCTGCCTTAGATAGAAAACTCCTCCTGGATGATCTGCTGAACTGGAAACTAGCCTGAGATGACTATAGAAATAAACCGAATAGAACTGAAATGTAAATCTGTAGGAAAAATGAAGAAGTTGGAATTTAAACCAACCAGGTTCCTCTTTTGAAGTGTGTCCTGGATGAGCGTCTCCTAGACGATGGGAGACGTTCATGTCTTCTGTGCGTTGGAGGAGGAGCATCAGGCCTGCGGTTGCTGGCGTTTCCTGACGTTCGTCCCTGTTTGTGTCTCCCTCAGTCGGTGAGCTCTCCCCTCCAGTCGCTGCAGCAGAGGACCTGGCTCATCCACTGGTCTCTGTTCGTGTTCTTCAACCACCCCAAAGGCAGAGACAACATCATCGACCTCTTCCTCTACCAGCCTCAGTGAGCCGCGCTGCCTCCATGTCCTCAGAGATCCTCCTGCAGCGCGTCAGCCGCGCCTCCTGCCCTCTGATCTGGACGCGTCTCTCATGTTTGTCCCTCCATCTTCTCCAGGTACCTGAACGCCATCCAGACAATGTGTCCGCACATGCTGCGCTACCTCACCACGGCGGTCATCACCAACAAGGACGCGAGGAAGCGGCGGCAGGTGCTGAAGGACCTGGTGAAAGTCATCCAGCAGGTAAGGATGGAGGCGAGAGGCCGTCTGAAGGTCTGCGGCTCGCCCGTCACCGTTTCCGTCACCGTTTCAGGAGTCGTACACCTACAAGGACCCCATCACCGAGTTTGTGGAGTGTCTCTACGTAAACTTTGACTTCGACAGCGCACAGAAGAAGCTGAGAGAGTGCGAGTCGGTGAGTTCCCGGCTCTGATGTCTCTCCTCTGGAGTGTTTGAGGTTTTAAAATCCGCCCCGCGGCGCCGGAGGTGAATAGGAAGCGCTCTGATCTCGCCGTTCCAGGCACGTCTGGCCTTATTTGTTCTCTGTGATCCTCAGAGCGGCGCCGCTGTCAGGTCTGGGCCTCCGCCTGCAGCTCTGCAGTCCCGTTGGTTTTGGCTGCTGTTGTTTGAATTGTGCCGTGCCAGCAGCAGACGATGAGTCATTCAGCTTGTTTTTAATATTCGGGAGGATTTAAAGATTCCCGCTGGGAGGTTTTTCCTAAAAACCTTTTTTCTCACTGACAGGTTTTAATAAATCCTGCTTTACTTTTTAGTTCCTTTCATTTCATGATTTATTGTATTTTACTTCAACGTCACGACGACTCCTCTTTTGTCCTCCTCTGTACAATCGGCCCAAAAAATTTTCAGGTTTGCTTCAGTTCATAAAAGCAGACAGAAAGGGACTCTGAATGAGTTCCTCTGGCTCCCCCTGCTGTTCCTGCACAGCCTGAGCACAAATAAAACAGTCCAAGTCACTCTGCAGGCCTGATGACCTGTTTACACGTCTTCATTCAGATACTTTTCCAAATTTCCATTTACAAAATGTGTTCTTTGCTCTGGAAAATAATGGGTCAAAGTTCACTCCGTAATCCAGTTAGAGAGAAGCAACCTCAGCGGCTCCATATTTAATGAATACGGAGCCCCTTAAGTTCCGCTTTAAACTAGGGGTGTGCAAAATAATCGTCATGATGATACATCGTGATTCTAATTTTCATGATCTACTGCATCAATTCTTGACGCCAAGTATCGATTATTAATTTAAAAAAATTAGTGAATAAAATTGCATGAATGGTTGGCGAACATCAGCCAAAAACAAGTGTAATACAACTTCCAGTCCATTAGATGTTGCTGCGGATGTGTTGATGCACACTGCCTTGTGTCACAAGCATTTCTACTGCGCCGAATCATTCAAAAACAAAACATGGAGGAGAAAATATCGCAATGCATTGCAATAATTCAAGTATCGTGATACATCGTGATAGAATCGCATCGTGGCCTGTGAATCGTGATTCGAATCGAATCGTGACTCCTTTGGCAATACCCACCCCTACTTTAAACATCAATCTTTGTACTAAAATATTCTTTCTGTCATGATTTGTGGACATTAAGATCTAAAGAGCAGCGCCATCTCCTGGCCAGTCTCTGTAATTCAGTGAAAGGAAGGAGTCAGAGTAAAGAAATATGAACGCCCAGGAGAAGGCCAGTGGCTGGAAGTTGGAGGGGATTTTTCTGAGAGTTGCAGGGAAGTGTTTGGCTGTTTTTAATCCTGGCTGTTAAACTGAAGGATGGTTTAGATGTTGGAATCCAGGACGGCTCAGAGAAGAAGAAGATTTTAAAGAGTTTTTTCCTTTTAAAGGTTTATTTTGGAGACATTGTTGGCCTGACAGGAAAAGAAGGATCAGAGGAAGAGGGAAGACGGACAGAGAGGTGAACAGGCTGGGACTCTTCCATTCGATTGGCTGTCAGATGCTTTGTTTGTTCAGACACTCCAGAGCAGGGGTCACCAACTTTTTTAAGGCTGAGGGCTACTTTATGGCTACTGAGTCATAGGACGGGCTACCAATACTGACCTATGAACTAGAGGAGTCGGCGTTCACCTGAACTTCATAGATAATAAACATATTTCTATTGTTTCTTTTCATTTTTAATTTGCTTTTAGATATTCTCATTATGAAATCCATATAAATCCTCAAATGTTCTATTTTATTGATATGATAAAATGCCTCATAAATGCTTCAAAATAAGAGCTTCAGTAAAAAATAACATTTCAGATTTAGTCCACTGGTGAATTGTTCTGTTTTCAAAAGATGCTGAGGCCCCCTTGGTGCCCACGGGCACCACGTTGGTGACCCCTGCTCCAGAGGTTCCTCCTCTGGATCCAGATATTCCTCTTCTGGATCCAGAGGAACATCAAGGTTTTGGTTTGAGATGAAGAAGAGTTTCATCTGGTCCTGTTTAGCACAGATACCTCTGTTAGATCAAGATTCCCACAGCATGATGCTGCCACCACCATGTCTGACAGAATGTATGATGTCAGACTGATGGGGAACCGTTTGGATCTCCTTCCTGATCCATCAAGGAATCACTTAGGAACAGATTCAGCTCCACGTCTGGTTTGGATCCATTGAGCAAACTGAAGGAAAGTAGTAGATCTGTCGGTTCTGATTGGTCCGTTTTTTTCCAGGTTCTGGTGAACGATTTCTTCCTGGTGGCATGTTTGGAGGACTTCATTGAGAACGCACGCCTCTTCATCTTTGAGACTTTCTGTCGGATCCATCAGTGCATCAGCATCAGGTACGGCGCCTTAAAACGCTCCACTGAGCCCCGACTAGCGCTGCAGCTAACCTTTATTTAGCAAATTGACTCAAATTATTTTTTCGATTAATAATCGGCTAGCCAGAAGTTCCTTAAAGACTTTTTGTGAAATTAAACCAGGTGAAACTAAAACTTTTCCACTTCAGGGGTTCTGGATTATAGAGCAGATTGACAGAAGAAAACGTTTTGTTTTTATTTTAAAGGAAAAATCCGTCAAATTCAGAATTCAAACTTCTGAAAGTTCTTTAAATCTGAAATGATTCCATCCTGTTCAATAAATGATCAGTGTTTTTAATTCAGAGTAATTTTCATGTGAATGTGCTTTACTGGAGGCATCCATGTTTGTCAAAGAACACTACTGCCACCTACTGGTTAGTGACATTGTCACGGTGCGGTATCGGCTGTTGATCAAGTCCCAGTGCTGTATCTGGTGTTTGTCACAACGCGCTATTATCCAAGTCATCTTGAAAACATTCTTCTTCCAAATGTTGGCTACATATTACGGGTTTTTTCTCTGGCCAGAAGTTCGATGGCAAATCCTCCCTCTTCAAGTTGGCGATCCAACGACCAACCCGTCCGTGGAGGATCAGGAATCAGAAAGGTGGAATAACTCTTTTTTCCACTTTTACCCGATGTATTCCAGCATCCAGCTGCCATGCACGTGGGCATTGTCAGTTTCACTATAGCTCTGGTGAATTTCAATGGTGAAGTCCTCTGGAAATCTTCAATAATTGTTGTTGATTGCAGATGTGTCTAGTAGTTCCCATTGATTTAGCTTGGAAAGCGGGGAGAATGGCGCTAGGCTTACCGCACCGTGACGTCACTGCTGGAAGATGGCAGGAGGGAGGGGCTACTATATTTGGGCAAAAATGGCCGCTCCCAGACTCAGTGATTGTGACGAAAAAATTATTTTTATATTTTTTTACTAATTAAAGGTATACTATGCAACCGGTGTTGATTTTCCAGCGAGGCTCCCCCCAGAGGGCGAAAGTAAAAGTGCACTGTCGTAAATATGCTCAGCCTTTCTCCTGGTTTCTCCTTCAAGCCAGGCGCGGTTGTTTTGAGCTTAGCAGACAGGCGAACGCAACCAATCACCATGTCTACTGCGGTAAGTGACTATTTAGTTCCAGTTTTCGAGTTTGAAAATTTAGCATGTTTCCGACATGGGCTTTCGCTGTTTTCACGCTGGTTCCGCCATGATAACTGCACAAAGATCGCCACTGTGCTAGCAACGAGCATGCTTTTAACTGGGGGGTGTAGCAGTTCTCGCCGTAAAGCAAGACCGACTCTCGCGAGACTTCTGAGCCTGTGGGTGCGGGTCGGTGCTCCTGCAATTGCAAGTGCGGTATTTCCCCCACAGACCACCAGGGCGGCCGAGAAAACCTTTGTTCAACCTCAAATGACTCATTTAATCATCCAAAACGTTATGGAACACATTAATTAACTGAAAAATGTTGCATAGTATGCCTTTAACGCTAAATTCATCAAACCAACGTAAACGTATTAGTAATTTGTATTATGATTCAATGATTATTGATCATTACTTGCTGACCGGACTTTTCCTTTAAATGCAAAATCTTTATAGATTTTTATTTTTTACAATCTTGTTATAATTCCTGCTCTAAGTGGGTCACTCTGTCAGTTAAAGGCATGTTTTAGAGTCCCTATACTCCATTTAACGATCAACCGATTACTAAATTAGTTCACGATTATTTCAATAATCGATTAATCTGATAAATTTTTTCAGCACGGATTTTTCCAAACATAATCCGCCTTCAGACGTCCTTTCATATCACCTTGGCTTCAGTCGATACCATAGAAAAAAATAAACGCCTCAGAAAGATGGCCGATAACAACAGACTCCTGTTCAAACTCATCTAAATGTATATAAAAAAAAACATTTTAGAGATATTTTATATTTGTTTTTAAAAAATGACAGAAAACCCTGAAGGTCAGTCAGTGATGAAAGCTGAATACAATTCTATTCAGTTTATTTCTATAGCTCCAATCCACATCATGTCATCTCAGGTCACTTTCCAGTTCAACCAGATCATCCAGTCAGATTGATTCAAAGTTTTCTATCTAAGGAAAACCAGCTGATTGCATCGACTCATTGACTCTTCAGCAATCCCTCACACTAAGCATGCTTGTAGCGACAGTGGAGAGGAAAAACTCCCTTTGAACAGGAAGAAACCTCCAGCAGAACCAGGCTCAGTGTGAGCGGCCATCTGCTGAGGCCCACTGGGGTTCAAGGAGACAGAAGCAGACATAGAAAAAGAAGCATAGATACAAAAGGCAACTGTCAACCAGCTCCACAGGCGGCCCCGTCCAGGAAACACACAGCCAGGCAGACGAGCTCCGAGCCAGCTCCCATGTCAGAGGATGAAGAGAGCACATCCAGTTAGTCACAGTCAGAGAAACAGGACTACACTGGAAAACAGGCCAAGCTCCAACATCTAGAAACAAAGGTGTTGATGGCAGCAGCACAGCTGATATTTCTCTTCTGGTGTCACATAAGAATACAGAGACTGTAAATAAAAATATCAGAAATAAAAGCTAGATCATCGATATGAATTCAACCGTGATAAATTGATATTAAAATTAAGAAAGGGGTAAAAACCAAAGAAGAAAAGTCAGAATCGTACCTTTAATACGTTGCCTTCAGGAGTCAGCCGGACGGTAACGGGGGACACGGTTGTCCTCATTGTCTCCTCCCTCGCTCCATAGCATGCTAGCAGACAAGCTGAACATGTCTCCCGAGGTGGCGGAGCGGTGGATCGTCAATCTCATCCGAAACGCCAGGCTGGACGCCAAGATCGACTCCAAGCTGGTGAGGCTTCACGCTCCCTGAGCCGCCGTCCAACCCGGCGTGGTTCCGCTGTTAACCTACTGTCTGTGTGTCTGTCAGGGTCATGTTGTGATGGGGAACAACGCCGTGTCGCCGTACCAGCAGGTGATTGAGAAGACCAAAAGCCTGTCTTTCCGCAGCCAGATGTTGGCCATGAACATGGAGAAGAGGACGGCCCACGGCGGCAGGAACGAGGTAGAGCATCCTGGCGTCTCCCTCTCTGGTTCCTCCTGCTTCCGTTTGAGATGAATAAACGTCACCATGACGCCGAAGGTGTTGCTGCTCAGCAACCAACCTGTCAGGATATGGAAAATGTTTCAGAACAACAAATGTGTTTAAAGTTTAAACTTGGCCCAGTCTTCTAAATTATAAACAGATAATCGACCTCAAAAAAGATTAATTAGAACAAAGTTTCTTCCATCAGACTGATTTCTAATGATGCTGCCACCTGTGGCTGAAACACAGAACTGCAGCTCTCTTCTGCTCGTTTTCGTAGCTCGCTCTCGAACTAAACAAGCGTCTGTTTTCCTTTTTTCACCTTTCCCAGAGTTTTCATTGGTTTCTGAGTTGAGCTGGATTCCAGTCGCTTCTGAATATCTACAGCTTGAATATTGAGATATCTCAAAAGGCATTTTGACTCTCCAAAATGTGATTGATTGATATCTTGAATTGTAATTTTCACTAGTCATGATATAATTTCTGATATATTAAAGTATCAATCAGGATAGTCAAAATGTAGTTTTTCCAAGTTAAAACTTTTTTTTGATTATCTTAGAAGTAATTACAGACTTGGGTTGTCACGATACTAAACTTTTCAACTCGATACCGATACTAAGGAAAATATTCGATACTCGATACCATTTTCGATACCACAAGGATAAAAACAAAGACTCCAAAATTCTACTGAAATATTTTCATTAATAAATAAAATACAATAAATAAATACAATAAACAATAATAATAATATTTTGAGGTTGTATGCTGTGCACAATATTAAGCAAGCTTGATAAAAAACTTATAAAATTAAAATTAAGTGTTCCTTTCTTGGCTATACTTTGCACACATAACAACACTGCAAATAATCTACATAAGTAATTTTTTCTTAAAATAAGAGCATTTTTTCTTGAATTGAGGAGGTAAGTGAGGCATTTTGCCAATGGAGCGACACAATTTACATTTAAAATAAGAAAAAACAATTCCATTATCTTATTTCAAGTGCATATTGTCTAATTATCTTATTCTAAGAGTAAAATTACTCATTCCGTTGGCAAATCTCTTAATTACCAACTCAAACAAAGGGTAAATACGCTTAATTTAAGAAATTTTTACTTATTTGTAGATCATTTTTCCAGAGAATGACACTAGCCAAACCGGTTAAGAAACAAAAATAATTCTCAGCAGCTGCACCTGTTAGAAAAAAAAGTCTGAAACTGAAAAATGCACAGAATTATTCAACCACACAGTGTTCAGAAAGTGCATTTTCCTCTATTCTGCACTTTAGATGAATGACTGTTTAGGTGCCACTGGTGGTAGCACTGTATCGATACTTTTAGAAACAAGTTTTGTACCCGGATTCAACGTTTCAGTATCAATACTTTTTTGAGTATCGATACTTTTGACAACCCTATTACAGACGGTGAGAAAAGCTGATTCTATGATAAACGGCCGCCATAAACCTGCGAGTCTGCGCTCAGGGCAGCAAATCCAGATATCAGGAATCCTCTCTACGCGTTCGCAGATCTCACACAGCGGCAGTGTTGCAAAAATCAGGTGTGGAAAGAGAGCCAACCGGGAAGCTGCTGAACTTCTAACCAATGATTGGTCTGAATTTTGATCAAATGCATCTGTTTGTAGACTGATTTACACATTTTTAGATCTGGATACAGATTTGTGGATTTTTTACACATTTACAAATCAATTACAAGTTATTTTACACATTTGCAGGCACTCGTACACACAGACAAATCTCCTCACATAGTTTCAAATCCACTGCATACACAATAATCTAGATACAGACACACAACTCTCTGCACATATTTGCAAATAATATTGTAACAATATTGCTCCCATATCAGGTAACGTACCTGGAGCTTATGGCCCAGGTATGAGCATATGATGGCACACGTCGACTCGCCGTGTTTCAGTGTGCTTCAGTTTACCCATAACTTATCCAACGTAGCAATTGATAGCAAATTATGGAGCTAAATTAGAGCCATAAAACATTTCATTTTATGTTGAGAAATATTTTCAAACCTGGAAAAAAAAGCAAAAACTGAAAGAAAGGTTTGAAGCTGAAATGTTTTGAACTACTTTTTCTTTTTTCCACTTCAGGTTTTTGTCTAGTTTTAAACAGCTGGGGGCGGGGCTTATGATATAATATTTTTTAATTTCAGTTTTAGTTTTAAAAATGTTCATAGCATATTTTTAGAGAACTGTTTTTTTTATTTATTCATGTTTTTTTTATTTTCTGATTTTTTGTATTGTTTTTCGGTATTAGAGAAACTTTATGGCCCCAATTTAGCTCCATAGAATGCATTGAGCCTCAAACCATGAACTCCATTGGCTGCTGGATGCACTTATGAATCAGAAAAGAAAGAACGCTGATATCGTCCATCCAGTGGCGGATCTAGAAAATTTTACATGGGGGGGCAAAGGGGTGGCAAGAGGTCTTGGCAGGGTGGCAGAAGTAGACGGTACATGGGAATCCTTATATGTGAGCTGCTTTAACCAAATAAACACAAAACACTTTTAAACTACAGTAGTTGTTGTTTAATCATGCCCTTACACACTACAAAGTTTTTTCTTTTAAATTCACAACAGAATAAGCAAAGTGTAGTGATCGAACAAAAAAAACCTGCATCTTTTAAAAAGTAAAAGTCTAACAAGCAAAATCCCTTTAATGTATTTGTTATAATAATTGTGTCCAAGATGCAGTGGACTACAAGCACTTATTTCCTCATTTCCTTCACTCATTTCTGTGTCTCCTTCATGTATTTCCTCTTCTTCGTCACTCATTTCTGTGTCTCCTTCATGTATTTCCTCTTCTTCGTCACTTATTTCTGTGTCTCCTTCAGTCTTTTCCTGCACTGACCCTCCTGGGCTCTCCAGTTTACTGCCTTCTCCCTCATTTCCCTTGCGCTCTTCCTCTTGTGTACTTGTTGGAATTTTCTTTGCAAAAAAGCTGGTTATATCCCCACTTTTAGCCTTCCTTTTCATGGCTATGAAGTAATATTTGCATGCAAAAGTCAATATGTGAAAACCTCTGGTTATCCTTGTATTTCATTAGCCTACACTGTAGGGCCATGGAACTTATAAGTTAAGTAGCATATACTACAATACCTATAAATATATATATATATATATATATAGGTATTGTAGTATAGCCTATAAAACAAATATAAATGAGAAAGATTTATCACATTCACACACCAGTTATGTTTAGACTACTTATTTCTATTGTATTTGTTATTTCCCCAGTTATAACCTGGTTTCATTGCTGCGATATCTGAGAGGAATTGGATTTATAGGACTGCTCAGCTAATCAAATCAACACTGTAGCCTGCGTGTTGTAACGTAACGGCGGCATAACGGTTACCATCAGTAAATCAGTTAACGTTATGGATACAAAAAATATTTTGTATTTTTTTATTAAGCTCTTTTTTTCTTTACATTAATCAAAGGGAAGAGTGCTCTTACAAATCCCGAGGGAAGGATTTGACCGACACACTCGCTGTTTTTGCTAATCGTCTTTAGCAGATATTGACTACAAATGTAACTTTTAAGTGAAACGTGTGTTTAAACTACACCTGGTAAAAGTCACTTCACCTTCAGATGCCCTGGGACAGCTCAGTCTCCAGTTGCAGTCTCTCCAGTTGGTTTGCACACTACAGAGCCACCGCGACGCTGCAGACTGTGTGTGTCAGACAGACTGAGCGCGAACTGCGCTCTGCACGTTTGAATCAGGGGCGTAGCTAAGTATTTGAGGGACGGTGGCAAATAATACATTAAAAATAAAAAACTAAATTGCAACCTTTTGGTAAATGTATTGTTTTGAGAAGCCTGTGAACATAGTGGCAGGTTGTTTTTACAGGTACAGCTTTTGGATCATCAAAGTTAGGGGGGCAGCTGGGGGGGCAAGGCTCTATATTGGGGGGTCAGCTGCCCCCCCTTGCCCCCCTGTAGATCCGCCCATGCGTCCATCAGTCTCTCTTGGACGATAAGATGTCAGACAGGCTGTTTTCACGCCTGGTTCTCTTCTGTTTTTTCTTTTCTATCCTTCTTCCAGATAATCACTCGTTCCTTTTTTTTTTTTCCTTCTTTCAGACCCCGAATTGGGCGGCTCAGGACTCGGGGTTCTACTGAGACGAACTCGACCTACAGGAAGATCCAAACGGCTCGTTTTTAATAATATTCATGCCGTTTATCCTCAGTCAGTACTTCTGTCACTTCTAGAGCTTCTAAGTCTAAAGACCTTTTATTTATTTATTTATTTATTTATTCTCTCTCTTCCTGTTTTCTCCTCCTGTTTTTTTTTTTGGTCGGTGCTGAAATTCTGACCTTTAAAGTCATTAAAGGAAATGTTTCAATCTGTCTTGACTTGGTTCTTCTTCTCTTGGCCACTAGATGGCAGCATTGGATGAGTTCTGGTTCTGCAGAGGCGTGCAGGATGTGTTTAGGACAGATGAGGTTTGATCCTCTCAGCAGGATGTATTGTTGCTGTTCTCTCTTAAAGGCTTAAAGGCTTTCCTCCGGCTGTCAACTCATCATGTTGGTTAATATTTGAGCTGCTGATCAGCCCAGTAGAACCGGTTCTAACGGAGCAGGTGTTAATTGGAAAGCTTATTTAAATAGTTGTGGTTAGAGCCGGCTCAGTTGATCCGGTCTGCTGGACCTGATTGTTCAGTCGGTGTCGTCATGCCGACATAGTGAGTCGGGTTTGTGGGGATCGGCTCCCGGCCCAGAAGAACCGGCACTCTGTCATTACCGCCTCGGCTGCCAGATGTTCCCAGCAGCCTCAGGTGGATCTGTGACCTTTGACCTGATTCCTCCTGGCTGTTGGGGGTGTGGTTTCCAAGCCGCTCCTCCCACAGGCTCCGTCTCCTCCAGGAGGGAGCAGAACCCTGAGAGGCTCAGTCTGAGCTGACGTGGGCCGAGGTCTGAGCCAGGCCTCTGCAGGAGCAGCTGGAAGCCATCAGTTCCTTTAGAGCTTGAAGCAGACCCAGGCTCTGCAGCATGGAGCTCCTCGGCGAGGCCCGGCTCCTCTGGGTGCTGCTCCTGGTGCTGGCCACCTTCCTTATCTGGCTCTTCTTCTTCTGCTGCTACAGCTGGAACCAGAGTTCATCTCCCTCCCTGGAGACGTACCTAGCAGGTAGGTGGGCCCGGAAGCTCCTCCCATCAGGAGCCTCAGGCTGATTCACTGACTCAACTCTGTGGAAGAAAATCATCACTTTCCTTTCCAGCATGGTGGGGCCACATTTTTCCAGAACCTACAGGCTCATTTAGGCTCCACTTTGTGGTTCTGATGGCTGGTACCAGAGGGAGGGGGGACAGAGGCTCTTTCTGCTCTGAACCACAGGAAAATGTTATTTATAGAGAACTGGGAACGCCGGGCTGCAGTTTCCCGTTTTATCCCAGATCTGTCTGTAATGAATGAATCATTTTACTGGACGGTTCTACTGGTTCATCCCAGGTGTCCAGTAAAACCCAAAGGTTCTGTCAATGTTCTGAAAATGTTCTCTTTTCCTCACAGTGATGCTGAAGAAGTCCAAACCCAAAGCTGCGGCTCAGGTGAGAGGAATCCTGCACCAGTGGCTTCATTTAAACTCTCATCTCACGTTCTTTAAAAAACAGTTCTGCTCGGCCCGGTTCTGTTCGGCCTGGTTCTGTTCGGCCTGGTTCTGATTGGCCCGGGTTTTGTTCGGCCCGGTTCTGTTCGGCCTGGTTCTGATTGGCCCGGGTTTTGTTCGGCCCGGTTCTGTTCGGCCTGGTTCTGTTTGGCTCGGTTCTGTCAGCTCTTTCAGCTGACGCTGTAGTACCAGCTCTGAACTGCAGGGGGCCTCGGTCCTTCATGCTTTCAGAGTTCACATCACATCATCCTTAAAATGTTGTTTCTCACTTTGGGTTCAGTTAGAAGAACCACGTGGTTCTGGTTCAGTTCGTCATGAATAGAACCAAATAGAAACTTCTTGAACATGAGCAACAAAAACAGGGAGAGAAAGGAGGAAGCAAGTGAGGTGGACCTTCCTGACCCGTTTACCTGATGAATCTAGAACCTTCCTTAAACGTGTCTGAAGGGTTCCTGCAGCTCTCGTTCTTCTCCTCCTCTGACCTTCACACCTTCCTGTTTTTTAAAGTTCTACTTTGCTTCTTCAGGCATGTTTTCGGATCGTGGTCTACATTATTATTATCCGTTCAGCCAGTTTGTTTTCCATCAGGAACCAGAAATAAAACTGAAACATATACCAGAAAAACAAGTTATTCGGTTAACAAACCATTTATCCGATTTGTATTGTTCACACAAAATGAAAATGGAAAAAAACAGGAAACAAAACCGCATTAAATCAGGTGAGGACCTGAACTGGACCTGAAATGGTTCTTAAACAGGACCTGAACTGGACCTGAAATGGTCCTTAAAAGGGACCTGAACTGGTCCTTAAACAGACCTGAACTGGACCTGAAATGGTCCTTAAAAGGGACCTGAACTGGTCCTTAAACAGACCTGAACTGGACCTGAAATGGTCCTTAAAAGGGACCTGAACTGGTCCTTAAACAGACCTGAACTGGACCTGAAATGGTCCTTAAAAGGGACCTGAACTGGACCTGAAATGGTTCTTAAACAGGACCTGAACTGGACCTGAACTGGTCCTTAAACAGACCTGAACTGGACCTGAAATGGTCCTTAAACGGGACCTGAACTGGACCTGAATTGGTTCTTAAACAGGACCTGAACTGGACCTGACATGGTCCTTAAAAGGGACCTGAACTGGTCCTTAAACAGACCTGAACTGGACCTGAAATGGTCCTTAAAAGGGACCTGAACTGGTCCTTAAACAGACCTGAACTGGACCTGAAATGGTTCTTAAACAGACCTGAACTGGACCTGAAATGGTCCTTAAACGGGACCTGAACTGGACCTGAAATGGTTCTTAAACAGGACCTGAACTGGACCTGAACTGGTCCTTAAACAGACCTGAACTGGTCCTTGAACAGACCTGAACTGGACCTGAAATGGTCCTTAAACGGGATCTGAACTGGACCTGAAATGGTCCTTAAACTGGACCTGAACTGGTCCTTATAACGGACCTGAACTGGTCCTTAAAACGGACCTGAACTGGACCTGAACTGGTCCTTAAAAGGGACCTGAACTGGTCCTTAAACAGACCTGAACTGGACCTGAAATGGTTCTTAAACAGACCTGAACTGGACCTGAAATGGTTCTTAAACAGACCTGAACTGGACCTGAAATGGTCCTTAAAAGGGACCTGAACTGGTCCTTAAACAGACCTGAACTGGACCTGAAATGGTTCTTAAACAGACCTGAACTGGACCTGAAATGGTCCTTAAAAGGGACCTGAACTGGTCCTTAAACAGACCTGAACTGGACCTGAAATTATCCTTAAAAGGGACCTGAACTGGTCCTTAAACAGACCTGAACTGGACCTGAAATGATCCTTAAAAGGGACCTGAACTGGTCCTTAAACAGACCTGAACTGGACCTGAAATGGTTCTTAAACAGACCTGAACTGGACCTGAAATGGTCCTTAAACGGGATCTGAACTGGACCTGAAATGGTCCTTAAACGGGACCTGAACAGGTCCTTATAACGGACCTGAACTGGTCCTTAAAACGGACCTGAACTGGTCCTTAAAAGGGACCTGAACTGGTCCTTAAACAGACCTGAACTGGACCTGAAATGGTCCTTAAAAGGGACCTGAACTGGTCCTTAAACAGACCTGAACTGGACCTGAAATGGTTCTTAAACAGACCTGAACTGGACCTGAAATGGTCCTTAAACGGGATCTGAACTGGACCTGAAATGGTACTTAAACTGGACCTGAAATGGTCCTTAAACGGGACCTGAACTGGTCCTTATAACGGACCTGAACTGGTCCTTAAAACGGACCTGAACTGGACCTGAACTGGTCCTTAAAAGGGACCTGAACTGGTCCTTAAAACTGACCTGAACTGTTCCTTAAAAGGGACCTGAACTGGTCCTTAAAACGGACCTGAACTGGTCCTTAAAACGGACCTGAACTGGTCCTTAAAACGGACCTGAACTGGTCCTTAAAACGGACCTGAACTGGACCTGAACTGCACCTTAAAACGGACCTGAACTGGACCTTAAAACGGACCTGAACTGGACCTGAACTGGTCCTTAAAACGGACCTGAACTGGACCTGCTCTTTTATTCTATTCAGTTTATTTCTATAGCTCCAATTCACATCCTGTCATCTCAGGTCACTTTCCAGTTCACCAGATCATCCAGTCAGATTGATTCAAAGTTTTCTATCTAAGGAAAACCAGCTGATTGCATCGACTCATTGACTCTTCAGCAATCCCTCACACTAAGCATGCTTGTAGCGACAGTGGAGAGGAAAAACTCCCTTTGAACAGGAAGAAACCTCCAGCAGAACCAGGCTCAGTGTGAGCGGCCATCTGCTGAGGCCCACTGGGGTTCAAGGAGACAGAAGCAGACATAGAAAAAGAAGCATAGATACATCAAACCATTAAATGTTCCAATGGAAAGGGTTCATGTTTGATGGAGACTCTGATTAAACGATGTTCATTCTGCGTCTGCAGAATCTAGCAGGGTTTTATTTCTCTCTAAAGATAATCCTAGATTGAGCTCCAGCTTTCCTCCCTGCAGCATGATGCTGCCACCACCGTGTTCCGCTGTGGTTTATCCAGTGTTTGTTTTCAAACAGGTCTTACCAGCTTTGTTCTCCGCTGGTCAGAGCTCCATCTTCCACCCATCTGCTGCTTCTCCTTCATGGTTTATAACAAACTGCAAACAGACGTTCTTCTGCCTCGTTTGTTTTCAATAATGGTTTTCAATCTCCAGCTTTAGCATAGAAATTCCCAAAAAATGAACCAAACAAACCACTGGACGTTTCTCTTCCATCCAGGAAGCTTTTTCATTTCACAGTGTCAGGAATAGAACTCCTGCCCTACAGGGTGCCGCTATGGCGTCGCAGGTTCGAGTCTCAGCCCTGCTGACCTTTGCTGATAGTCTCTCCCCTCTCCTCTGACCAACTCTTCTGTCTCCATACTTTCAAAAATAACAAAATAAAGGCCATTAGAGCCTAAAAAAGAAATCCTGCTCTACGCTGATCATGTGGTGCCAACAGGAAATGAAAAAAGACCAGATTTTCAAGAAGCTTTTCCTAATAAGAGAAGATCTGTAGGCACCATTTTATTCTATGGTCAGAACATCAAGAACTCTGAATGTGAGGAGGGGAACCTCCTCCTGGACTGAGATGTTGGCTGAGCTTCATCTTCTGACTCTCGTGGACCATTGGCTGCAGGCCTGAGTGGGCGGTCCTCCAGAACAGAAGGCAGAGATGGACAGAGAGCTTCATGAAGCCGGACTGGTCCTGCTGCTCTCTCTGAAGCACCGATGAGCCGGACTGGTTGGGTGAAATGTCGCTTTGTTCAGTCATCAGTTCCAGTCCAGTTGCTCCTGGAGCACAAAGCAGAAAAAGAGACGTGTGAGGAGGACGCACACATCCGCACACATCCGTTATCGGGTCGACGGCGTCCGTCTGGGAAATCAGTTCTTCACACTGAAAGAGTCACAGCTCAGCAAAGGGTCAAAGATCAGATCAACAATGTGTCCCTCAGATCTGAACTAATGGACCAACCCATCAGAAAGACGCCTCTGTGTGATGTGGTTCCATTAGAGGAACGTGAAATTAAAGACGGTCCAGTTTGCTTTAAACAAAGACACTCGGACCTTAAACGGCGCCAAACATTTGCTCCTTCATCCTTTCTCTGCGTCTCCTTTCTGAAGCAGAGAGGAAGAAGAAGGAGCAGATCTGCAGGACTTTAGCCCTGTGGGTCCAGCCTGAGCAGAACGGCCCGGTTGGTACCGTTCCAGTTCCAGTGAAAATGACCAACCAGGACAAATTACAGTAGCTGTCTGCTGAAATGCATGCTGGGAAATAGACCCTTCTCTTTTCCAGTCTCTCATCTGCAGAAAACTGAGATGTTCTGTTACATGTTGTTTAACCAAAAGGCTTTAGAACCACGTCACACAGGGACGCGAAGGTTTGGGGCTGTCATCCTGGACCAGTTGTGCTAATGGCGGTCCCAGACCTCCGATCTTCCTGTGACTCCTTCCAATGCGTTCTTTTTTTGACCAGTTTGAAGGACGGATTCAGAGGATACCTTGGTCTTCCATCATTTCCCATGATTCATTGCCAGTCAGGCGGTTTGGTCAAGCTCCGGCAGCGATGGAGAAAAGAAATAGTGAAAAATACACTTTCTACAACTCAAAATAAACTCTAATATCCCTTCAGTCAAGATTTCACTGAATAAAGAAAAACCCCAGAGACCTGATGATGTCCTAATATGTCCCCCAGCAGCAATATGTCCCCCATAGTCCAGAGCTCAGTAGTCAGCAGACAGGAAAACCTTTAAGCTCATTTGACTTTATGACCATTTAAAATACAGGCAGAAGTAATTTTTCAGAAAATATTTGTGTGAAAAATATTAGAGTAACTATATATATATATATATATATATATATATATATATACACTCACCGGCCACTTTATTAGGTACCCCAT